CACATGAGCTGCGTGTATAACTGAACCGTTCAAGGAAACATGGTTAATCAGTTCATGGCTAGGTTCCTGGACCTCCATTAAGTCGGCACAACTGGGTAAAGAAGACTCATTCACGTCCATTTTGAAGTCATGTGGTGGACTTGTAACCTGATCAGAGTCTGTGCTTACAGATACAGCAGTTACACTTACTTCTGATGGGACGGCTGGCACTAGGTTAACGCCAAGAGTCTGAATAAACTTTTCTGTGATTGGTTTGACAGAGCCATTAGCTTTAGCAGAGAACATATTAGGCACAAATGAAACAAAAGTGACGCTGTCAGAGGGGATTGAAGCCTCATTACGCTCTGACTGACAGGAATCATGCGGCTCGGCCTGGTATTTGGCAGTCTCAGGCCTGCATTCCCCAGCTACCCCCCCACCAGAAGTTGATTTAGACAGAGACTCTGAGTCATCTATGAATGGAAGTGCAGCTAACGCAGTGTCTGATAGAGCAGTGGCTGCCAGTGGTGGTGCAGACTGGGAGCTTACTAAATCAGTAGTGCTCCCAACCAACACCCCATCCTGAAATGAGTTAGAAGAAACAAAAGAACATGATTCCAAATTTACACAAACTGAAGGTAAAACATGATCATTAGAGACAGTATCGGAGGCCCAGATCTCAGCCCCAGCATTCACTGCGCCCTGAGGGGTGCTGGAGCTACGTGGTTCAGACATGTGTCCCCCATCTTCTTCGGGGGGGCACGACATAACTGACAGCATGAACTTGACAGTACAAGACACACAGACATAAACACACGAAGGGCAAGGGAGACGTAATGCAGGGGTGATATATACAAATGGCTGGACTACCTTAGAGAACCTAAACAAATAATAAACATCAAAATAGGCTAAGCATAACACACTGGGTCACATGACCCAGGACCATGACAAGAAACATCACACTGCTGTGCAGAAGCAGCTGTTCCTCCACCAAGTACTAAGTCATGTTTTGCTTGGAGATCAAATGCATTAAAAGCAATTTATAACTTCTATGTTATGTGGGGGTTTTTTCTGGATTTTTGGTTGTATCGCTCTTAAAATACAACTTCCATAAAAATTAGAGAAACAAACAGATTCAGCAGGAGATGAAATCATTATTCCCCGCGCTGTATCAGGGCAGCTATGTTCCAACGTAGTCTGAATGAACTAAACAGCAGTGACTCAGTGTCATTGGAATGATTTTCTGTAACTCTGATCATGAGCCACTCAAAACCTTAAAGTTGTTTTGCTTTATTCTATTTATTCTGCTGGATGGTTTTACTTTCATCTGTCAAACTGTGGGACACTCTTCTTTCTGGAAGTCTTTTATTTACAGTAGACTAGGATAATGGTATGTCTACTTCCTGGAGAGTGGGCTTCACTTGGTTGGGTCTTGCTTCTGTGGCCTGTTTCCATCGATGATATTACCCATGTGTTCTTTAGTTCCAAGATGTAGGAACCTCATTCTGGTTGCGCAGTTTCAGTTTGGCCTGTTTCTCTTACTCTGCGAGCTTCTTTACCTGCAGCTTGTAGGTTTGCAGCAACAGCTTCCAAAAGCAAATGCTGCTTTGGATCTTTGCTGTTTGTTTTATTTCCAACCATTCATCCATTCATTCATCTATCCAACCATGCAACTATCCAACCAACCATCCACCTAATCATCCAACTATCCAACCAACCATCCAACTAACCACCTAACCATCCAACCATCCATCTAGCCAACCAGCCATCCAACTAATCATCCAACTATCCAACCAATCATCCAACTAACCAACCAACCATCCACCTAACCACCCAACCAACCATCCACCTAACCATCCAACCATGGAACTATCCAACCAACCATCCAACTAACCACCTAACCATCCACCTAACCAACCAACCATCAGATCAGATCAGATCAGAGATCAGAAAGGGTTTATTGCCAGATGTTGAGCAGGTTTACAACATTAGGAAATTGCTGCGGTGCTTCAGTGCAACATACTGTCATAAAAATATAAAAATAAGAATAAGAATTAAAAGTGCTAAGTGGATTGATATATACATGATATATACATGAGTGCAGGTGGTGATCAGTGCCAAACATGGAATGATGCAGTGAACAC